AAATATTTTAATTAAATAATTAATCAAATCAAAATTAATTTTTATTTTTTATTTTTTATTTAAATTTATAATAAAAATATATAATAAATCCACCTGAAGACATAGCTCAAAAAAGTTTTAAAAAATCAAAAGAAAAAGGGATAAGATACGCAATCTCTTAGCTTTAGGCATTTTCCATCGAATTTCTTTATTTTTCTTTTATTCGTCGTCATGAATTTCTTGATTTCATACCTATGAAATTTCCTCAACAACTTGGGGGGTTCCTTTCGCATTCATTCATATGTCTTATTGGCTTCTTTTGCTTTTTAAAAAGGAAGGTAATAAAGAAGAATCCCCTGCTTTTCATATAAATTTTCATTGCGTTTCAACTTTCAACATATATTTTAAATGCGCAAAGAAAAAAATAAAAAAGATTATTTGTACTGAAAATATCATCACCATCCAATGTGGAAGACCAAGAAGCAAAGCATTATGTCAACGGTCTCTAACTTTTCCCCAATTTAACTTTTTTATTAATTATATTAAGTATGATAATCTTGATGACCTAAAAGGCAAGAGCTTTCAAGGTGAAGTTACTTGAGAGATAATTAGAAAATGTTTCAACAAGGATTAGGAAAGTTGTGAACATTAAAAGCACATTTCTAAAAGTATAAGTTAAAAATTTGATTGAGTGTTTACTTGTCCCAGTTTTTGAAAAAAATGAAAAATTCTACAAAAGCTGAAATTAGACTAATAAATGCAGATTTTTGTGTAAATTAATGATAAAAAATATATTTATTACATTTTAATTTATATCTTTAAGGTACATGTTAGATAAATTTATAAAAAAAATATTTATTAATTTGAGATATGGGGAGTATAAAACATCAGACAAACATTTTATCCGAAAATATAACAAAATTCAAATTTCTTGGAAAACAAAATTTCTAATTACATCTGTTGCTACTTTCTAATATTGTTAGTGGATATTGATTCGTTTTTTATTCAATAGGGTTATGATGGTCATTGCATGGACAGAACAATGGGAATACAATAAAGCCGTTGATGCCATCAGAACGCGGTTTGCTTTTAGGTAAATGTTTGAATATATGGGGGCCCTACAAATAATATTGTCTCCAGATGCAAGAAATTGCTGGAATTCAACAAATTCACTGTGATCACTGTAATTTTTAATAAGAATA